CACTAGTCAGCTCCCTTGCACTAATTGCACTATTAGACACACCTGCCCCGCTTCACTGATTCTCACCAGCTGCGCCTCCTTAGTTCCCCTTCTTACTTATACACTGCTCACCGTTTACTCCCCTGCCAGTTCTTTCTCTGTCTTCAGGCCCCGTGTATGTTATCATTTTTGCCGAGTTCTCTCTCTGTTTTCAGTTATTACCCGAGTCTCTATCCTGCCCCGCCGCATCTGGTTTTCTTCCTCATCCGACCGCTCCTCTGGATCCTGGTTTCCCTCAACTCTATCAGCCACCACTTCACGGGTCGATGCACAGTCCCCTTTAATCTGTCTCTCTGTTACTCGTCTCTCAGTCATCATCATCTCCACCCCGACCAGCCCAGGAGTGAGTCCGACGACATCCGCAGCCCAGCCCGTCATCACTCCATTGACTGTGTTTCCTGCTACCGCTGATTGACACCCGGTCCTCTCACTCCTCCTCATTCATGTAAATATTTTGTTCACTACTAGCACTGTAAATAAATCCCACTGCTTGCACCGAAGCCAGCTACCTGGGTCCGTTATTTTTTTCTGCTCGCTCATTGGTGTGTTCGAGCGGTTCCTAACACTAAGTAAAACAGAAATCCATGCTCATGAGACATTCGAGACTGATTTGTCTTATTGTACATGATGAATATTGCACATCTATAAATTCAGGTCTTAATGGCATTTATTGTAACTATATCTCTTGGATAAAAGCTGTTTTTGAGTGTTTGTGATTTTATTGGCCAGGGTGGGAGGGGTCCTTGAGAATGTTATTGGGTTTTTTTTTGAGACAGTGGGAACTGTGTAGATGTTCCAATGAGGGGGGGAGAGGGCAGCTGATCCCCTCTGTAGTGGTGACAACCCTCTGGAGTACTTTCCTCTCTGTGCCTCTGGCAAACAACACGCATATACTGTATGTTAGTATGCTCTCTATGGAGCAATGGTAGAAGGACACAAGCTGTTTTTCAGACAGATGGTTCTTCTCTGCTGTGCCTTCTTTATTAGTGCTTTGGTGTTAGTGTTCCAGGTCAGGTTCTCTTCCAAGGTGCATGCTGAGAAACCAAAAGTCTGAAACAGTCCCCATAGGTGAGTGAGGGCTGGACATCTTTTATTCCTCAAGTCTGATCAGCTCTTTTGTCTTGGTGGTGTTGAGGTTGTTGTCTGTACACCACACGAACATTTGTTTCATCTCGTCCTGGTATGTAGACCCAGTGATGAGCCCCACAACAGCAGTGTCATCAGCAAACTTGATGATGGTGTTGCTGGTGTGGGTGGGAGTGCAGTCGTGGGTGTAGAAGGTACAGAGTAGGGGCTCGGCACACATCCCTGTGGGGGGGCCTGTATTGAGGCCTGAGGAGATGTGGGGACCAACTCTGACCCTCTGAGAGTGATCCAGGATGTCATTTAACCAGAGGCAGATGGCGTGGGATAGTCCCAAGTCTGCCAGTTGGGACATCGGTCTGTGGGGGAGGATGGTGTTAGTTGCAGAGCTAAAATCTATAAAGAGCAGCCTAACATGGCTCCCCTTCTGCTCCAGGTAGATCACAGCATTATGAAGAGCTGTGGCTGTGACATCCGCTGCAGACCTGTTGGCTCTGTATGCAAACCAGTGTGTGTCAAATATGTGTGGGAGGGAGCTGATGAGATGACTTGGGACAATGTCTCAAAGCACTTCATGATCATGGGTGTCAGTGCCATAGGGCGGTAGTCATTTAAGCTGCTGACGTGACCTTTTTGGGCAGTGGGAGTATGGTTGAGGACTTCAGGCAGGGTAGGATGGTGGACCCAGATTGATTGAAGATCTTACTAAAGACCCCAGCCAGCTGTCTGCTCAGTACTTCAGAATCCACTCAGTGATGCCATTGGCTACTGCAGCCTTCCTCAGGTTCACTGCCCTCAGTGTGCACCTGACTTCATGCTCCTCCACAGTAAGGATATGGCTGCTGTGGGCTCCTCAGGTGTCTCCTCCTCGAAGCAGACAAAGAAATGGTTCAGCTCCTTCACCAGCAACACATCACTGTCAGTGGCTGAGAGGTTGGTGATGTGCTGAACCCCCTCCCACACCTGCCTCATGTTATTGTATTAAAGGTGGTGTATCAGAATCAGCTTTATTGGCCAGGTGTGACGGACACACAAGGAATTTGACTCGGGTACATCAGCTCTGTATGCAAAACAGTAACCAGCATAAGGCTGTGTAATATAACAAAATAGCAGTATTAACATCAACAAACAGTGCAAACAATGCAGAAAAAGCAGTATAAACAGACGGTAAACAATGCAGACAAGGACTGTTCATTGAAATGAGATAAATAGAGATAAAAACAGAGTACTTAAAACTAGAGACCTCTATGGCTCTGTATATACTGAGGGTTATTGTCTAATCATATTGTTCATCAGAGCGATGGCCTTGGGGAAGAAACTGTCCTTGTGCCTGGTTGTCTTAGACCACGTTCACACTGCAGGCTGAAGTGACTCAAATCCGATCTTTTTGCCCAAATGTGACCCATATCAGATTTCCTTATGACAGTGTGAACAGCACAAAACAGATTTTTTTTTTTTTTTTTTTTTTTTTTTTCAAATCAGACCCAGGCCACTTTCATATGTGGTCCTAAATCGGATACATATCCGATGTTTTGCAATGCGACTTCAGTCTGAATGGCCAGGTCGCATTTCATGCGATTTTTGTTTTTTAAATGTCATTGAAATGCGAGGAGGTGAGGGGTAATAAAAAAATGGCAGACAACGGTGATTCAGGTGGTGATAACCTTTCCCTTCTCACTTGGGTACGGGGGCACCAGCCACTGCTCCACAAAAGGCCATAAGCAATATTTGTGCTCTCCTTCTTGATATTCTTATGTCTTTATTTCGATTGCAAATTGTCAGGTACATTGCTACGCACATGCTATCACGAGCCACATCCATTTTTATTTTCACAAACACAGTACGCTGCGTCTGACGTCACGTCCTCTTCTGCGCATGCGGGTCACTTCAGGGCCGTATACGGTTCACACATGAGACAGATGGCAGTCGCATTTAAATGACAGTGTGAACAACGCAAAAAAATCGGATTTGAGCATTAAGACCTGCAGTGTGAACGTAGACTAAGTGCACAGTGACCTGTAACACCGTCCAGAGGGGAGGAGTTCAAACAGATTGTATCTGGGGTGTGAGCGGTCAGCAGTGATCCTCTCCACCTTCCTTTTGACCCGTGCGGTGTACAGGTCCTCCATGGAGGGCAGGTTCACACAATGACCTTTTCTGCAGTCCTGACTGTCCACTGAAGTCTGGTTTGGCTCAGCAACCAAACAGGACAAGTACAGACAGTGATGGAGGTGCAGACAACAGACTCGATGATTCCTCTGTAGAACTGTATCAGCAGCTCCTGGGGCAGGTTGAACTTCCTGAGCTGGCGCAGGAAGTACATCCTCTGCTGTGCCTTCTTGGTGATGGTCCTTATGTTGGACGTTGGGGATTTGTTGGGTTTTCCTTATGTAATAATATTGATAACAGTAAGGTTACTTTGTAAAGTGTCCTGAGATGACTTTTGTTGTGATTTGGCGCTATACAAATAAAATGATTTGATCCTGGGAGATAGTGGAGCCCAGAAACTTGAAGGACTTCACTGCTGATACAGTTCTGCTAAGTATGGTGGGGGTAAGGTGGGAGGGCTCTTCCTGACGTCCACTGTCATCTCCACTGTTTTGAGCATGTTCAGCTCCAGGTTGTTGTGGCTACACCACAGGACCAGCTGCTCAACCTCCAGTCTGTAGGCTGACTTGTCATTGTCTCGGATGAGACCAGTGACCGTTGTGTCATCTGCAAACTTTAGGAGCTTGGCAGAGGGGTCCTTTGAGATGCAGTCGTTGGTGTAGAGTGAAAACAGTAGTCGGCTGTGCCGTGTGTTCTGCTGCAGTGTCTTTGAGCAGGGTATCAAGCTCTTCTCACTCTGTATTAAGCCGCTTAAAAAATGCCTTAACTCCACTGATCCCACCAGTTGGAGGGAAAGTTCAGCGGCTCATCAGCACCATGGTCAGTGCCTCATGGTGCAGCAGCGGGTGTCGTTTTACTCCGAGGCCTGTCTCATTTGTGGAAAATCAAATGGCTATTTGAGGCCACAGAAAACACTTAAAACACGGCCGTTAATCGTGGCCAAGAGGTGCTGTCTCTATTATGAGAAACGTGATACAACTGCGTGCGCTGCCCTGACGTCACCACTTTCTTGCACGGTTAGGCTCGTGACTTAGAAAAAGTCACAGGTGTGGCAAAAGTAAACACTCATTTGTGTAAAAAGATTTTTTTTTTTTTTTACTCTTCGTTGTAATTTGTTGCTTTTTTGTTAAATTGAGCTGCTGCATTTTTAAAGTCGAAGTAATGTCAGTAATTCCACTTGAGGATTCTTGTTTCTTGTGTTTCAGAAGGGGAACCTGAGCGCATTGAGGTTAGCACTCGTTAGGCTACCTTAATTTATGTGGCAGAGATACGATGAACAGAGGGAAATATTTTTGTTCCAATAATTCAGCTTAGGTCTGATAATAGAGAGTGGAGGGTGACTTTCTGCCGTTAACTCTGACCCCGCTCACGAAGGCGAACAGAATAGTAAGTTATCCTCGCTGTAACGCGTTACAGTAGCCAGTTACCAGTCAGTCCTGCCTCTATCTCTCCATCCTGCTTTGTCTATGCATCCATGTGGGTTTTCCCTTCGCACTGACGGTGTTGCGCCTCTCTGCGATTGGCCTCACAGACCATCAGTCTTCACAACAATAGAACCCCCGCGCGTACACACGCACGGTCACGCACAAATGCGCACAGAGCTTTCGATGAGCGACGGTGAAATGTTGGTTAAACTGCGGTTTACCGACTCCTTTCTTCCCAGTTTCACATCGGCGAGGAGCGCGGGGATTCCTCTGCGCTGCGCTCAACCGGCGTCGGAGTTGAAATAAGGGAAACACGGGAGCTCGGGGAAAAAAATAAAGCTAGAACCTGACGGAAGGCGTTTTAGGGGACCGGCTTTCTCTTTATTGGTCAGCCAAAGATATTGTATCATCATTTTTTGAGTGGAACCATGCCTGTCCGGAGGGGTCATGTTGCGCCACAAAACACATATTTGGGAGTAATTATTCGTAAATTCGAAGGGCAAAGTAAGTAGCTTTCCTGGTGTCCAATGCTGTGTGGGTGCGTTGTGTTGTGCTGCCTGCCTTTTGTGTCTGTCCTGCCTCATCTTGACAACAATTATTTAGTCGTCAGGAAATCGCCTAACAGGCCTTCTTTTATAACAACAAGGCTTGTGATTCAGATAGGCTGCAATGCACTTATTCAGTTTTTCTGTAATTTTGATAAACTGTAGGTGAGAGCTCCAGCAAGCACCTGGTTTGTTTTTATAGCACTGTAGTGCTGGGGTACTTCTTGTACACTGGAGGCCTTTTGAATCAAGAAGCTGTACCATAGGTCTGAGAAAGCCTCCTAAATTCACATTCTGTTATTGTAACTAAAATGTCAAACCGAACGCTATGCCTATCATAGAAAGTGCAACATTCAGACTTTTATGATCACATACAGTACTTTATTGAACAAGTACCAGTGGTGGAAGAAGTACTCAGATTGTTTACTTAACCTTATTCTGAAAAGTAACTAGTAAAGTTATCAAATAAATGTAGTGAGTACAAAGTATAATATTTTTCTCTGAAGCGTAGTGAAGTTGAAGTAGCAGAAAATTTAAATACTCAAAGTACAGATATGTCATAATTGTACTTGAGTACAGTAGTTAAGTAAATTTATTTTGCTACTTTTTCAACTCTGACATGTACAATGCAGTCCAACTGCTCGTGAAGTTTCATTTTTTAATTCCCCTAAATGATGGATGTAACAGGGAATACTCTCATGTAAAAATCATTACCCAAGCCTAACTGTATTAATATTTTTGAGAATCTTTTTTTCATATTGTTTCATATTCCTGTTAATGTACTAATTGACATTAGTGGAAGAAGTACTGAGTTTAAATAAAAGTAGCAATTCTACAGTATAAAAATACCCCATTACAAGTAAAGTCCTGCATTCAAAATGCTACAGAAGTAAAGTTACAAAAGCATTAACATCAAAATATGCTTAAAGTACCAAAAGTAAAAGTAGTCATTATAAAGAAGAGCACATTTATATTGGATTATAACTACTGATGCATTTTTTGTTCCTCACTGAAGTGTTGCAGCTGGCAAAGGTGGAGCTCATTTTAACTGCCTTTTATATACTTATAATTTGAAGTAGTGCTGGGTAGCTTGTGAATTTCCCACTAGGGATCACTAAAGTCTCATCATTATACTGTGTTTTGTGTAGTTAATCTGACTCTTCAAAGTAGTGGTAGTAGTGGATAAAAATGTACAATATGTGCTTCTAAAGTCAAAGTATTGAGTAGCAGAAAATGAAAATACATTACCTTATTAAAAATACCTTATGTTTAGCACTTTTAATGTACTTGGTTGCTAATTACTGTATATGCAGATACTGTATATGCATATATTTAT